ACTTCAGGAATCCCCAAGGCTCGAATCTAGGACCCTTACTATTTATTTATACATAAATGATCTAACTCTTGACTTGCACTGTTCAAAGTTATTATATGCAGATGACCTTAAAATATACAACTATATCAATACTATCGATGACTGCCGTGTCTTGCAGCAAGATATTATCACAGTGTCTTCATGGTGCCATGCCAATTATCTTAACTTCAATGCGGACAAGTGCTTTGTTGTGTATTTCACAAGGAAATTAAACATCTTACATTTTAACTACTTCCTTGGACACGTTAGCCTTAAGCATCAAGAGCAAATCGATGACTAGGAATCATATTTGATCAAAAAATGTATTTTTCAACTCATATCGACACGACTGTTTCGTCGGCTAATAGGATGTTGGGATTTATCATGAGGAACGCTAGAGAATTTTCTATTTCAGTACTAAATATTCTATATATAAGTTATGTACGTAGCAAGTTGGAGTATGGTATCTTGATTTGGTACCTACATTGCGCAACACACATTAGTAAGATAGAACGTGTTCAGAGAAATTTTTTGAAATATATGCATTTTAAGAAAACTGGTTTATTCCCGGAAAGAGGATTTGGTTACTCTTTGCTGCTTAATGAAGCAAACTTTTTTCCTCTTAACACACGACGTATCTTTCTAACAACGAGTTGCTTGTACAAACTCATTCATGGGGACATAATATGTGAATTTACCGTGCTCAGACTCAAGAGTATTTTATTGTGAATGCCCTAGAACCAACATTTTAGCTAAGTCGCCTATTTAGATAATTTGTAACAATTTTAATTTAATATTTAACAGCTGTGACATCAATTTCAAATATCTTTTTTATATTATTCAAGTGTTTATTTTTATATACCATTAGTTATATGTTTTCTTTTACATAAAACGAAATGTTCATTTGATTTTACACATTTCCTGTTATTGGGTGCACATGTAGGTACCTGTTGGAAATGAATGTCTATTTGAGTCTCTAATGAATTCTGTATAGAAATTCTGATAGTTCGAAGATCAATAGTAAATAATTCTAGTAATAACTAACAAATAATCGAAGTCATTGAACATACAAAATATTGGATATACACAAGCTACCCCAATTAGGGGTAGAAGGTATGTGAAACGTACGTTTTAACGTTTTACAAAGATATGAGTCCTCCTATCCAAAAAATGACCCCTTTAAGAACGAAAACAACCCAGTGAAAACTATTCTTCATGGTTAGAGGTAGCGCGTTGAAATCTTGTGCGCCTTTATTAAAGTACACTAATCACCTCCTATTGAATAATAATTTTTGCATGGGAACTTTGATGATTCAAATATAATTAAGAAATGATCCTATAATAATTAATATCTACTAAAGTCACTAATTACAAAAAATATCGCATATACACTGAAAACCAAGTTTGTCTGACGGCTTCAGTTTAATATATACGAGAAAGAAGTGTGTATAGACACATATGTTAGAAAGAGATCGAAGCCCGCTGGATTGCCAAGCAACGCTGACGCGGCTAAATAATGGTTTTATTTTGAGCGTACACATTTTTGAATCATGAAATGTGTCGAATTTGTTTAGGTTTGTTTACCGATCGGTCCTAACGGCGCTCCATTTTAGGTCGAAAGGAAAGATCAGGATAGCCACAAATTCTGCAACATTGGTTCGTTTTTATACATTCCAAGGCACCCATGATGATAGTTGAGCGATTTGGGTCAGAACCCATCTAGCGCTCGTCGAGTGTCGTCCTGCTTCCAAATGGCTTTGAATACACGCAGGCAGTGATAATTTGTATTGCGTAACACAACAGCACTATCGCAAAATGTAACAATAACTCAGGATGTGTTGATTTTATCATCGGAGGAAATGAAAGATAAATCTAATATAAATTGAAACACTAATATTCGAATAGACCTCTTTCTGGGGTTCGACAGTAACCTAACCTATTGTAGCAGCCTGTGGGAACATTTTCTGGTATAACATATTGGCGACGCGGCAGATTGCACGGCCTTCTGCATCGCCCTTGCTAAGCTCTTCATCCGGCTTCTGTCTCTTTCTAACATGTGTTTATACACACTTATCGTACTTCTTTCTCGTAAAGATTGAACTCAAGCCATCAGACCAATTTGGTTATCCCTGTATAGAAATACCCCAAATAGGGGGTAAAAGGTTATTTAAAAATGGGTCTTTTTATTTATACTTGGACCACAAGAAGGCCTAAGGCCTAAATACCTGTGGGAACCGTGTTGCTATGGGGGACTCATGGGAAAGGGGGTGACGTCACACGGACTCTAGGAAGCACCACCTTCGGTCAAATACCCGTTTTTTCTAAGACATAAGTACTCATCTTCAAGAAAATTAATAATAAATATGTAAATATAAACTTCTAAAAGCTGTTGCACCACGTTCAATAGAAGAAGCTTTCTGTTGAGAATTATTTTATTTTAATATGTAGAAAAGACTGATAGTTCGAAATGTTAAAAATCTATCGATTTTCGACTCCTCCCGGAACCTCGTGAAAACAGCTCTATTAGACTTATGTTTGATCGGAGTGCATGTATAAAAGTAACTTAATTTGGAGCAATCAGATGCACATGCCTCCTTTATTTTCTACTCTCCAAATATGCCGAATTGCAACGTCGCATTAGCGCCTAAGGTGGTGCAATAAGCATTTAGGTAGTGGCGAAGTGATATGGACTATAGAAGAGTAGCGTCACTCCGTCGTTAAATCAGTTTTTGGCGAGGTGTCTGAAATTATATTGTGGTATCCAAAATTCTACATGAGGTTTAACTGTGGTGTCTGTATTATAGCAGGTAGTGAGGAGGAAGGCAACGTCCAGGTTGACAGCAAAACACTGTCAGAAGTGTTTCATGTATCACAAAACTAGCAGGAAGTGGGGTGTTGATATTTCGATGTTCCGCTAATTTTGTAAAGGCGAGTATTGTTACTCCAACATATTTTGAATCCGAGACATCGTCGCTTAAGTTGTAACACCAGAAACTCAAAAAATAACTTAATAATAATTTACTTAAAAAAGCCACCGTGATTGCCGGAACGTCATCAGTAGGCAGCATTAGCATATGAGGTTTCATTTGCGGCTAGACAAACATGGAGGATTTGGGGTATTGCCCACCATGCTCAGCGTGGGAGAGGTGCTGGATTTGAAAGATACCGGCAAGATGATTCGATAGCAAACAAAGACCCACCGTTCTTTTTGCTCTCCTAAACAGTTGTTAGTTTTAAGTTACACGGAACTCTTTTCATTGAACAATTAAATTTTTGTGATTCATGAGTGGGTAGTACCAAAAAAGAGAAAATACGATACAAATTTGTTATTTAGTTTTACAACCTACGTCAATGAGCAATGGCAAAAATTTCCAAAGTATTTTGAGTTTTATATTTTTATGACGTTTCATGATATACCCAAAAAGTATGAATGACTTGTTCCAATATCCGCTGTAGATTGTTTAAATATGTTGCGAGAGAAAATAGATCTCAAGTTACATTTTTTTTTTACTTAATTTTATACTCTTCAAATTTTATACTCTTCAGCCTACACTATTCATTTTCACTGAAACATAAATACGAACATTTAAAAAACAAAGTGATTGTTTTCATCTACACTGAAGGGATGTAAGGACAAAATTTGGAGATTCTGGTTACTGTTAGCGCCCTTACATCAGATTTCCACGCACGTTTCAGGTTTCCAATAAGTATTTTTGACTACTTCTAATTATAAACAATAGTTTTCACTGGGTTGCGTTCGTTCCGAAGGGGCAGACACACGTTTATTTTTAACATTGTCCTTTTTACATTTTTGAGGTGAAATACCGTTTTTTGAAGCTGCTGGGATGAGTTTCATTGAAATACTTCTTTGTTCAAGAATGAAATAGAAAAGACTTACATTTTATTACAATTATAATCGAATTTTTGGACATAAGGTACTTTGATAACAGTGACGGTAGAGGCAGCTACCGCCGTATCAACGATACGGGGCACCCAGCTTACATGGAAAAAATGCTACATGATAGAATAAAAATTGGACTACATAATACAATACAAAATAATAATACATACCCCAAAAGGCTGAGGATTGACAAAGTCATTTTGCACCCTAGCCTGAGTCAATATAGCCTTACTAAAGAAACAACATGTTTGAACTCCATAATGTTGTTGAATATGGCTTAGGCTGAAGCAACCAGAAACGATGAAAGCAAATTTTAGAAATGCTTAGAAATTGTAAACTCTCCACAAAGATGTTTGATTTCCTCAAGAAATGTTCAGAAATTTTTAATACATACAAAAACAAACTTTAGTGCGATCTGGAAGAGCTACTTTAATTTTTACTCATAACACCGCTACTATCTAACGAACTTCCAAAAATGAGGTAGCATTATCCCCCTATAAATTTTGATATGTATGTGGGCCCTGGATAGTTGAAGAGCGCGGGGAGACCCAAATCATATATTCTGAGGCCTTATAAATCGCATTCTAGGGCTCCACTTTATACCCTTGATACATTATTATCCCAAGAAATCATGATATATGATGAACTAATTCCCCCTCATTTTTTGATTCCTTTAACTATAAATTTTCACTCGTATCCCAAATTGTTTATAATGAAATTATTAACAGGAATTTTACATATTTAGTTAAATGAACTTATTCACCTCTTGTGGAAAGCTTAAGCAATTCAGTGCATAGCTTTATATCTACCTGTCATCAGGTATATATTTTTTTTTGATGATGTTAGAAAACTTTCACATACATCCTACTTTTTTCTATTTTCTATTTTTTATAAGTTAGTATCATTATTTTTATTATTCAATATTTCCAAAGCTCGTAGAGGAACCGCCTCCGTCGATTAAAGCTGCAAGATGAAACTCGACTCCACTATATACCCTAGATACATTATTATTCCACAAGAAATCTACATACATTATAAATTAATTCCCCCTCCTTCATCTTAATTTTGTTTACACTGTCGGCGTCAATATAATAAGTCGCCGGCAAAGCTGGCGTTTGTTTTAAACATTTTTATATTTGATAACAACGCTTGATCTACAAAACACGAGATAATTTGGAAGTGACCGAAATAGACGTCGTTTTTGGGTGATCGCCAATTTTGTGAGATAAACTTTGACTGTTCTAGTTTCTAGTATTAAGATGGGTTCTTTAAAATTCGAAAGTTATAATAACTCTGAAGAAATAACTTCGGTGTTTATAAATTTAGTGAATGACGACAGTTATAAAGACAGTTATTTCGATGAATATGGAGTGAAGAGTTTTTTGAAGGGCATGGGGAGGATGTTCTACATTGTGAATCCCTCCGAGACTACGTTTAGAGATGTGAACGATGTACCTTCTTTCTACAGAGATGTAAGTTGTGAGATTGTTTGTTAAGATGAAGATGGTGTTACTTATTTTAAACTGAGCAAAAGTATCAAGAATAACTCCTAGAATCTTTAGACTATTGGCTCTGGAGAAGATGTATCTAAAAACATTACGTCATTTCTTGGTTTTTAAATAGCCGCTTTATTCCAAAGTCACTGAAAGACAATTTTTTGTGCTCAAACAGGATTTAGGGGAAACATGTCATTAACTTGTATCCGAACTGGAAATCACTAATTCTGAAGTTCCATTGTGTTCTCATGTCTTTTTGATTGAGTGGCATCTGCTGAAATTTTAATTCTAGGCCCAGAGCGCCCCTTGGGTATATGGCAACTATTCTAAAAGCCTAAGATATATCTGACTCCTTGTTTGCTATAGACGCGGAAAAAATCTCTCATTCATTTTCCGACTCCGATTTTTTCATAAAAACGTTTGAATAATGCCGTTCAACAAAAAATAATAATAATAATAATAATAATAATGTTGATTGGAGTATATACATAACAAATACAAAATATACAAGACGCCAAAAGACTGAGGGTTGACAATGCCATTTTTTCACCTCAGGCTACTAAACTATAGCTGTAAAAATTATTAACATATTATGGGTAATAATGTTAAGTATACAACATACTATAGAGAAACTATAAGATGAACAATTATTTTGAAGAGCATGCATTGAACTAGTTGTGGCTTCAATGAATTGCAATCGTAATAGCAGTTTTTTTAATTGACTTTTAAAACTTTAGATAGAAAAATTTGGAATAAGCATTGAGAATAGGTAGTGCCGTGTAAAAGAAACATTTTTTCAAATTTAAATGTATGGGCCGATACGTTGTAACAAATATCATTGCGTAGTAATACTTGTGGAAGTGACGACAGTTTCTTCAATTCTCTGAACAAATACCTATTTTACGACTTCATATAACAAGGTAGCATGAAAAATCAATGAGCGATTTTGAAATTTTAAAACATTTTTTCTGATATAATATCCAGTAATGTGCTCTTGTCTGAGTATACCGCTGTGATAGAATCTCATACAATAATTTGGGCTTTTCTGCTTCATTTTTTCTGTTAGAAAATTGTAATTAACTGAAATTCCGTAATCTAGATGTGTAAGAATTAGCGAATTAACAAGACTTGTTTTAATATCGCTTGTGAATCAATTCTTGTATCTCCAGAGAGATTTATATTTATAATATCATCGAAGTTTACTTATAGATTCAAAACATATATGGTTCCATCTAAAACTACATCTGTATTAATTGCTTCTTTACACTTCGGAACCATTAACCTAGAGCCTTTTCAACAAACTTCACTTTTGGAGGGGTTAAGTTTTGAACAATAATTTCTTGAATAATTTTCTATTAGCCTTAGATTCATATTGAGGTCCATTTATCAGAGACTGTTATTTGGTTTACAAGTTTTATACATTTGGACATCATTTGCTTAGAAATGTACACTCCATCTGATGTTATACAATCTGTCAAATATGAAGTGTAGAAACTAAACAGTATAGGACCTAAAACCCTTCCTTGTGGAACATCTGATTTTACATTTCGTAAAGTATATATTTCACCGCGTATTTTCACACATTGGAATCTATTATTCAAGTAGTTGATGAACCATTGCAAGACATTTGCAGATAAACCATAGAACACTGTGATTTACCATGTCAAATGCCTCGCTATAGTGTAAGATCAGCAAGAGTATAACCATCCCATCATCCATACATTTAACTATTTATATAACTTGTAATTTTCATAACACTTGTTTTAATTTTTCTTCGATTTTGTCTGATGTTACACGTCAGAATGAAGGTTTAAATACAGTGGCTTGTTTCTGTTATGAAGAAACATATCGCCAGTCTGGATAGTCGGTACATACCGGTAGTTGATAAAGTATTTATTAATGATAAAAAAGGGTTACTTCGATCATTCTGTACAAGCAAACGTCTGAAGATGTTACCAGGTTGACCGAATCATATGTACAATTTTCATCTAATTTCAGAGCACTGGTTCCGATATGTGATAAGAATATGGATGTTGCAATTTCTATAATAGGAATGTTGTTGCCTCAATGTTTGGAGCAATCAAAGGCATTGGTTAACAAATAGAAAACGTGTTTAAAGATGTATTGGACAAAATAAGTATCTTGTTTAGAACGAGTATGTAACTACTGTGACGAAACTAAGTTGTGTTAGAAACGTTGATTTAATCGATATTTTCCAATTATTTTGATGCGTATGCTCGCGCTACAGGTTATTGCGTTATTGACTCTGCAGAAATATCTGCTTAAAAAATCCAGACCCTGTTCGTAAGACAGCCGGGGGCAAGCAAGTTTATCGTTGTTACGAGATACTTGAGTATAATTAGTAACACTTTTTAAACTGTCACTATGCAGATAATGAACATGGCACACTTTTCGACAACGAATTTTTCAACTGCTTCATAACTCAAGCGGGAAAATGCTAAGGAGTGTCCCTTCTAAAATTTGATATTTGATTAATTACAAAATACCGGTGGCGTCTGCGAATTTTTTGAGGTGACGTCTAACCGACCCACTATTTCTAATTCGAATATTATATTTCAAATGTTCATGACATATACGTACATATGTTCATCTTAGTCAGTTATTCTTCTCATTTCTATCTAATAATTCATGGCCCTCTCTTAAAATTGAAAAGTTCATGTGAATTTCAAATCGAAACAGAAAAAGCTCAAGCTTTTCAACGTACAATTTTCTAAATGTTTTTTGGGGTTGTGGTGCCCAAATAACAATTTATGTTTTATAAATATGTCCTAACAACGTTTACAGAACTATTTATATAAAATCAGAAGATATTTTTTTTGTATAACATGTAGGATATATTATGTAACAAAAAATGTTGAAGCTCAGCAAGTATATTAGTTATTATTGAATTTTAGGAGAAAAGGTCAACATTTCCATTTTGTATTTTCTTCATTCTGTCCTGTATTGTTATAAAATAATTCAAGCGAACAATCTTATACCAATATACAGGGTGACTTCGAAGTTGAGTCATTTATTTTAACAGTGAGTAGATCTGATCAAAAGAAATGTTTTTTTCCTTTACCATTTTTCTGGTAAAATTAAAGTAACAAAGTTATAGCCCTTTGGAAGTTTGAGTACCGCCCTGTCTCAATAATAATATGTTCGTGTTTGGCGACAACGGATATAATCCGCCTGACCTGTTATTCGCATCGGAAACAAAAAAGCGAAAGAATTTGAAACGTTTATCACGATGTTTTTCGTCAGTCGCGTTAGTGTTTGTGTTTGTGTTTGTATGTGTGTTTGTTGCGTGGCTCAAACGAAATCAAAAATGGCACATGTTTACGAAAATGCTGAACTTGTGGACATGATTCTTATTTACGGGGGACAGTATTTACAAAATGCTCCCGGATGCTTCACGGATTTATGCGAATCGGTTTCCCAATCGAGTGCAACCAACCCCTCGTGCCTTTGTTAATGTAGTACAAAGGGCTCGTGAATCAGGTGACTTAAGACCTCACAGGTCAGGGCATGCTGCTCCAAGACCACACGATCAAATACAGGTCCGCACTGAAATACTTGTCGGGACGATACTTTATTAAACAAGGTAAAATTTTTTTTTTATTTATTTTTTTATTTTTACACACATATTTTGGTTTATCTTCCTTCTACAATCATTATCTGAAAATTAATGACTCAACTTCAAAGTCACCCTGTATAAACACCAAAGTACTTTGTTAAGATATTTTATCTTTGCATATTGATTTTTTGTAATACCCTTAAAAATGGCCGTCGTAAAGTGAAGTTAAAATAACACAAAATATGTCTTCCATGTTATAAAATATTTTCACCACCTTGAGAGTTCTTATAAAACGTTTTTGCTTTATAAGAGATTTTGATAAAGTATTTAATGTATGTGTATACTTTAGTTAAGCAGAGATGTATTGCAGGACAAAAATGTTAGTTTGAAAAAGTCTATGCGAGTATACAGGGTGTTACAAATTTCAGGAATCTGCATTGCCATATTGGTAACCGCTAAAGGTATTTTATAATTTTCAAGTATCTGTGTTATTTCATTTTACAGTTGTTTAATTACTGTTCTTAGAACGCAATTTTGTTTTAAAAAATTGACAGTAAGACAATTAAGTTTTTAAGAAGTATTTTGGTTTATAAGATTTCAGATTTACCACAAATTTTAATACTGTTCTATAAATGTTTACACAACAATTTTATACATTTAAGCTTACTGAACGAATTTATTTCATAATAGACATATACTGATATGTGTTACGAGCTTGTTCGTTTGCGAACATCAATGAAATTGTTTTACTAGCGCTATGTGAAACATTTATAAAATTTATTTATTAATATCTTCTTTCTGATACCATCGCTCGCCAAAGCATTTTGAACTCTGATTGAACCTTAAAAAATTAAATATAAATACTTTCATTAAACGAATAAGGCATTCACTTTTTCGGATAATTCCAGTATCTCTTTAAAATTGTTTAATTATATTATTGCCTTAATTTAGCCGACTTGCCAACTAGTACCGATATTTTATAATTTTTTGTATTTTTTGTATCATTACAAACATTTTTTTTGTATTATAATTTTATATGTAGCTTTTATGATGATGGTGTTAATGATAACTATATAATACTTTTTTTAAGGTGCCATCTGAGCGCAATATGCTTCAGCGAGCGATAATATCAGAAAAGGCAATATTCATAAATTAATTTTATAAATGTTCCACAGGGCCCTAGTAAAACAATGTTATTGATGTTCGCAAATGAATAAACTCGTATCGGATAATACCAGTTTAAGTCTATTATGGAACACATTATTTTAAAACAGTATTAAAATTTGCTCTAAGAACGTTCTTACGACTACCTTATAAAGCAAAAAGCTTAATATTGTCTTACCGGCAACGTTATTGAAATAAAAATGTATTCTAAGAGCAGTAATAATGCAATTATAAA